AGGAATGCTGCTTGGGCGTTCCTGCCCCTGCAGACGTGCTCAGCCCTGGCAGGAGGCCCTCTGATCACCAGGGATGGCCTCTGGGAACTCCACTGCTGGGAAAGAGAGCAGCAGCCCTGTGGATGTGAGCCAAGGGGTGAGTTAGCTCCAGCCTCTTCACCCAGGACTCTGCCCTAGCAGAACACAGGAGAGAAACAAAGCACACAGCTAATACAGGTAGGGGAGAGAGCTTCCCCACGATGCCCAAACCACTCAGCCAGCATTGCCCTCTGCATCTGCTTTCAGAGGGCGAGTCTGGGAACTGGCTCAGGACAAGTGGTGGAAAAGAAAGCAGGAGGTGCTCAAACACTTTTGGGGGTTACTCTTGGCCAGAAGGGAAAGATCCCCATCACAGAGCTCCAGTCGTGTGCCACCAGCCCATGCTTGGGGATGGACACTGAGAATCAGAGCAAAGGGGATTGTCTTCGATGGGCCATTCACACATTTATTGTCTAATGTAGTGTTTTTCCTTATTTAGGAAAAAAAAACACAAAAGCTGTTGTGAAAAAAAGGGACTGGTAGACACTGCCAGTGGTGGTGACAGCTGCTTCTGTAGAGACCAGAGGACACCCAAGGACAAATAGCTGGGAGACCTCTGGGACGTGCTGTTCACAGGGCTCTTTTACCAGCATAACTTCATTACTGATTGGGGATCCCATAAGCCACAAAGACATTTCTAGCCCAGTAACCACATTTGTGTTGATTTTGCTGGTCAATAAGAAATATCAGACTCTATAGTTAAAAAGATTTAAAGGCTTACATTAGATTTTCTGTTTGATTGATATCTAGGATAATTTGCAACAGTGAAAATGGGAAAGGTTCCCATCCCCTTCCACCTCTGGGTCTGTGAGGAACAGCAAGTTCTTATGGAGCTGTGTGAGGCAGAAGCCTTTGCTGTCAGCTCTCTGCTTACCCAGGGACTGTTGTCACATCAGTTACTGAACTGTGAAAATCTATAAGCAAAGTCATAATAGTTGATTTAGAAAGATTGGACACAACTTAGAATCTAAGTCTGTGAATTAAAGAACATACTATCCACAAAGGGAACAAAGCCTAAAATTAGTCCCAGAGGAATGTAATGTAACCTGTGGACTCAAATGTGCAAGGATATGGTTTAGGCTTCTTTTACTGACCCAACCCAGTGCTCCAGTAATGAACATATCAGCAGATGATTTTTTTTCTCCTGTTCTCCTGGTGGGTAGCTGTTCTTGGTTCAGGAAAGCCCTCCCTGCCAGGGAAGCTCTTGAGCATATGCATAATTTTAGGTGTGCACAGAGTCCCCACTGCAGCTGAGTGCATGCTTACGGCTGAGGATGTGCTTAAGAGCCTCCTTAAATGAGGGCCTTGATGTACAATTTAGAGGAAAGAATATATGCTGCTCAGTAGTCAAAGCAATCCAATTTACATAAATATTTATTTGTTTTCCATTATATATCATTTTTATGCAGGTGCTTGTGGGATGGATAGACGTCAGAACACATACATAATGGAAAAAAGCTTCAAAGGTATGGTATCCAGTGCCTGCAGTCACCTGGCAAAGAGTGTGAGGAGGGTGGCCTAGAAGAGGTGAGATAGGAGACCTGGGCACCCGGGAGAGGGGCCGTGCAGAGGCAGGGAGGGACAGAGCACCACCCCCAAAGAGGCCTGCGTGGCTCAGCTGGCAGCACTCCTGACGCCCAGCCCCACGCCCAGGAGGCACTGATGCAAGTCTGGAGGAGGCTGTAGGCTCCTGCCTCGGCAGCACAGTGAAGCAAAGAGAGACACAGAGGTCTTGGCTCCAGGGGCAGGAGGGGCAGGTGTAGCTGGCTGGCCAGAGGAAGCTCTTTTAGGACCTATTAGCCACCCTGCAAGGGCTCTCTGGTGGCAGGTAATGATAGACTGGTGCATCTGCCTGCTAAGCTGTGGCTCCGTAAGGCTCTTGGCCATGCTGAGCTTAAAGAAAGCCACTAGCAAACAAGCTGACCCTGCTCTGTGGCCTTTGCTGAAGAGATTTATAGCAGAGCTTGGGAAAAGCCCTCGCTCAGTGCACAAACCAGTTACACTGGCATGAAGCAATTAATGGGCATTGACTCCAGGGCAGTTCTAAAAAGGGATGCTGGATGAGTCATGAGCACAAGGCTCGATGATTTTAGATTTCAGTTGTCCTCCAGGTTTACATTAAATATATTCCAGTTATGTCTGGACTACCAGCCACTTGGCAGAGTGGTGCCCCTGAGCTCCTGGCTGACGGGGCTGGGGTTTGGCACACTGATCTGGGGGTCCAGAAGGCAGAGCAAGGAGTCTGTCTCATCTGGAATAGGCAGGTTTCAGGCTGAGGTCCTTGATCTGAGCTCAAGGCTGTTGTGTCTGCACAGCCCAGCTGGGAACATCCCTCCATCAGCCCAGGAGGCAACTGCTGCACAGCCTCTTCCCCAAGTCTCGCTCAAAAAAGCAAAATTATTTCAATATTTTAAATTGAAAGGAATGTGTATATTTGACTCAATCCACTGGTTTCAGCTACTTCAATAATTCTCTTTTTCAGGGAAAAAAAGAAATCTTATTATAATACAGCTAGTTGTTCCCTTTACACAGAATTATTAATTTCAAGATTAGTTTGAACTAAATTACTGTGTTTACAAAGTTAAAAAGCTGCTTTAAACACACACAGTAGGAATTCCCATCCATAGGCAGTCACCCAGAGAGTGAGGTACCAGTGTGACTGAGAGAAAAAGAATTACAGCAACAGCCAACTGTGCAATGGATTTTCTGCTGCTACGTATTTTGTTTATTACTTAGGATCTGAGCCACTTTCTTTACATGTTTTATCTCCTTATAAACAGAAAAGTCAGGCCTAGAAGCCCTGTGAGGAGAGGTGATGTGGCCTTGGGGCTGCTCAGCTGCCGCAGACAGGCACAGCTGGTGCTGGCAAGGGCAGGGTGCTGGGGAGGCAGGAACTCACCAGGGACTTTTGGTAGCTAACCTGCAGGTCGTTAGCAGCCCAGATTGCTCAGAAGCATCTGTCTTTGGATGGTTGAAGTTTTCTGACAGCCCAGTTTCTGGGTTCAGGCAGCCCCAGGGCTTTGGCAGCAGCACAGGCACTCAGTCCCAGATGAATTTCCCACCAGAAGGAGCTGGGTGACGTGCCCAGTGTTCAGTGTGCAGCTCTCCTCACCCTGCCAGGTCTTGTCTTGGCCTTGACGAGCCAAATTCATCTGAAAGATGGAGAGGAAGCACCTGCTAAGCTGGGTCATTCACTTAAAAGAAACTCCCAGTCCCAAACCATTGGGTTCTGTCAGCAAAAAGACTTGGCAGGCAGGTGCTTCCTTTTTACAACTTTTATACACTTTAAGGAGGGTCTTTTCCCATCAGCATCTGCTCGGCCTGGCTGGAGAACGCTCACCCTGCAGCTGAAAATCATGTCTGGTGCTCCTGACCCCAGCCTGGAGCGTGGCATGGGATGTGCTGCCAGGAGGGGACATGGGG